TGTAGCCTTTATCTTTTTTTTTTTGGTCAGTCATGGGGTCTGAACTCTGGGCCTGGGCACTGTCCCTCAGCTTTTCAGCTAAAGGCTAGTGCCCTACCACTAGAGCCGCAGCACCACTTCTGCCTTTTTCTGCTTATGTGGCACTGAGGAATCTAACCCAGGGCCTCATGCATATGAGGCAAGCACTCTACCACTGAGCTACCTTCCCAGGCCATGTAGCCTTTATCTTTTATGACATTTACACTATTTTGTTGTTGGTGGTGGTGGTCATAGGACTTGAACTCTAGGTCTGGGCACTGTACCTCAACTCTTCAGCTCAAGGCTAGCGCTCTACCACTTGAGCCACAGTATCACTTCCGGCTTTTTCTAGTTTTTTTATGTGGTCCTGAAGAATTGAACTCAGGGCCTCATGTGTGCGAGGCACGTACTCTACCACTGAGTCATCTTCCCAGCACTGACATTTACACTTTTGAAGAGTATAGACCAACTACTAGATGAATTCAAGTTATACAACTAAAATGTTTTTTATTAATATTTATACGATATTAACTAGAATATCCCATAAGCAGTGTTATAGTTCTCGTAAGGTTATTGCATCTGTACTTAATTGTTATTTGCCCTTTAGTTATTATGTTAATTTTGGCCACTAGGTTAATGTGTTCTCCCTCCTCCCTCTGCTAAAAAGTTACTTGTGTCAGGTATTGGCAGCAGTTCACACCCATTATAGGCTGAGTTCTGAGGATTGGGGTTTGAACCCAGGCAGGAAAGTCCATTGAGACTCTTATCTCCAATTAACTAGCAAAAAGCTGGAAGTAGAGCTGTGCCTTAAGTGGTAGAGAGCTATCCTTGAGCAAAACAGCTCAGGACTGGGAAGGTGGCTCAATAGTAGAGTGCTTGCCTTGCATGCATAAGGCCCTGGGTTTGATTCCTCAGCACCACATAAGCAGAAAAAGCTGGAAGTGGTGCTGTGCGTGCCTCAAGTGGTAGAACGCTAGTCTTAAGCTCGAAGAGCTGAGGGACAGTGCCCAGGCCCAGAGTTCAGGCCCCATGACTGACAAAAACAAACAAAAAAAACAGCTCAGGGACAATACCCTAGCCCTGAGTTCAAGTGCTAGGACCAGCAAAAAAAGAAGTTAGGCCAAGAATTCAAGCCCCACTACCGACCAAAAAAAAAAAAGAAAGAAAAGAAGTTAGTGTTTCCTTTCTACAGTTGATAAAAGTTGCGGAGAGGTATGTGTTCTGTAAATATGTCCATGTGGTTCTGACAACCTGTTTCAAATGACAAAAGTCTTTAAGCCAAATTCATTTGAAAGAGCTTTTGAAACTGATCTTGGCTTATCGATAACATAATTATTTTCTTTGTAAATAAATGCAAAGAGATCTATATTATAGCACATGTCTTCAGAGTAGATTAATGACAAAAACTAATATTCTCTTTATCTTGTATAATTATCCTTTAGTTATTTCCTTAATTTATAATGGCATGTTAGAAATCAAGCACTCTTCTCTTTTTATAGACTATTCTCTACAGGTGACTAAAATTTAATCTGTAAGAAAGTTTAAATTCTTTATACTTGCTGTTTTTTTTGGGGGGGGGGTCTGGTCATGGGGCCTGAACTCTGGGCCTGCGCGCTGTCCCTCAGCTCTTCAGCTCAAGGCTAGCGCTCTACCACTTGAACGACAACGCCACTTCCGGCTTTTTTCATTTTGCTTATGTGGTGCTGAGGAATTGAACCCAGGGCCTCAGGCATGTAAGGCAAGCACTCTATCACTGAGCCACCTTCCCAGCCCCAAGAAAGAAGAAATGTTTTCTTTCAGGAAACTAAGATATTGACGTTCTGGGCTAGTTTGCAACACAGCATATTGAATGCAGCCAAGTTAACTATAAAAGTTTTTTGAGAAATACTTTAAGTAGACTCCAGAAATTTCTCTTCTGACCTCTCAATTTCACTCTTTTTAGATGCATCCTTGGAGAACTGTTCACAAAGAAGCCTATTTTTCAAGCCAATCTGGAATTGGCTCAGCTTGAACTGATCAGGTATAGCTATGCATGTGTTCTTATATATCCTAGTATATTATATAATGTAATTTTCAAATTTTGAATGTTTTTCAATCACTACTAAGTGATGGTTTCTCTGCTTAATTTTAATATATGTCTTAGTCTTATCTTCGTGTATAAAAAAAATCATGTTCCACATAATTTTCTTTTCTGTTTTTGTCAGTTGTGGGGCTTGAAGTCAGGGCTGGGCGCTGTCCCTGAGCTACTTTGCTCAAGGCTAATACTCTGCCACTTTGAGCCACAGCACCACTTCCAGTTTTCTGGTGGTTAATTGGAGATAAGAGTTTCCTGGACTTTCTTGTCTGGGCTGGCTTTGAACCTCTGTTCTCAGATCTTAGCCCTCCTTAGTCAACTAGGCATGAGCTGCTGGTACACAGCTGGTGTGTGTGTGTGTGTGTGTGTGTGTGTGTGTGTGTGTGTGTGTGTGTGTGTGTGTGTGTGTGTGTGTGTGTGTGTGTGTGAACTAGGCATGAGCTGCTGGTACACAGCTGCTCTGGGTGTGTGTGTGTGTGTCAACTAGGCATGAACTGCTGGTACACAGCTGCTCTGGGTGTGTGTGTGTGTGTGTGTGTGTGTAGCTGCTCTTTGTGTGTGTGTGTGTGTGTGTGTGTGAGTGAGCGCATCAGTCTTGACGCTTGTATTCAGGGCCTACGCACTGTCCTTGAGCATCTTCTATTCATGGCTAATGCTCTACCACTGGAGCCACAGCTCTACTTCTGGCTTTTTTAGTGATTAATTAGAGATAAGAGTCTCATGGATATTTCTGTCCAGGAAGACTTCTAATGGAGATCCTCATATCTCAAGCTCCTAAGGTAGCTAAGATGATAGGCATAAGGCACCAATACCTAGCTAGCTGCTCTGATTTTTTTTTTTTTTGGTCGGTCATGGGGCTTGAACTCTGGACCTGGATGCTCCCTCAGCTCTTCAGCTCAAGTCTAGCACTCTACCACTTGAGCCACAGCGCCACTTCCAGTTTTCTGGCAGCTGCTCCAATTTTTTTTTTTTTTTTTGGTCTGTTGTGGGGCTTGAACTCTGGGCTTGAGCGCTGTCAGCTCTTCAGCTCAAGGCTAGCCCTCTACCACTTGAGCTACAGCACCACTTCCAGCTGCTCCGATTTTTGAGATAAGGTTTTGCTTTTTGTCTAGCTCATTCTAGACTTCAATCTTCCTATTTGTGTTTCCACAATAACTGGGTATGGGGTGTATACCATCATTCCCAGCTTTTTCTCTTGAGATATGTATGGAGTCTTGTTAAATATTTCGACTGGTCTGGATTATAACTAAGTTCCTTCTGATCTCAACCTTTCACATAAGTCCACACTACTGCATCCAGTATTGAGATAGGTAGGGTCTCGTGAACTTTTTACCTGTCTGGCCTCAAACCTTGATTCTCCATTCTCCCAATTTCTACTTCCCAAGTAGCTAGGACAGAACTTAGCTTATAGTCTTTTTTTTTTTTTTTTTTTTTTTTTGCGACCTAGGTTCTTTTTTGAACCTAGGGCTGTTTGCTTATTAGGCAGGTACTTTACCACTTGAACCATGCTACAGATCCCTGTAGACATTTTTGTTTTATTATAATTTTATTGTTACTATTTAAGGGGTTGTACAGAGGGGTTTCCATTTTTATAATTCAGGTAATGCGTACATTTTTTTCTTTTGGACAATATCACTCCTTCCTTTGCTTTCCCCTGTTTCTTCCTCTCATCCCTGCCTACAAGTTTCATAGCTCTTTTTCTGCATGGTATATATTGAATACCATGATTGGATTTGTTCACCCTTCCTTCCTTCATTTCTGCATCCCTCTGTCGCCCCTCCTGAGAAGCAGAAAAAGGAAAAAGAAAGCTCACACAAACAATACCATCACCACCCAACAACATAAATAACCCATGTTGTAGGCACTTAACTCACTATTTGTCATGGTAATCTCTTAGTTTAAAAACTTCTTAGTCTTCTCCCACTTTTCCTTGTTAGTAGGGACTTGAAGGAAATTAATACTCACTAAATAGAACAAAATTAGTAATGAATACTGTGTGGAGAATTAAAAACATGTATTATAAATCAAGTAATATGAATTATTCTGGATTGTTATGTCTGTATTTTCTCTTATTGTCCTGTTATCAACTACCCCTCCCCCCTTACTGAGGATTAAAGCTAGGGCTTTATACTTTATAGGCCCATACTGGTTGAGCTGTGTCCCAACCTCCATAACCTTCCTATCCTATTCCTTCTGTCCTTAAAGCAATAAGGTTATATTTTACCTTTCTGCATGCCTTATAATCTAGTGACCAAAGTTTCTCCAGGTGGTAATTTCTGCTCTTAGAACATTCAGAATTCATGATGCTGACTCAGTTCTTTGCTCTTGCTTCTTGCTTTGTTTTCAGTCGTCTCTGTGGTAGCCCTTGTCCAGCTGTGTGGCCTGATGTTATCAAGCTGCCCTATTTTAATACCATGAAACCCAAGAAGCAATATAGAAGGCGCCTACGAGAAGAATTCTCTTTGTGAGTTTGGCCAAAATGTACATTTCTTTTCTGTGTCTAGCTTATGTTTTGGGACCTTTTTAATAGCTTAGTGTTGTCTTGTTACAGCAAATATTTTGAAACAGTTACATGAGTTTTTTGGGTGTATATATATATATGTATGTATGTATGTATAAAACCCTTTTTTGTAACATCTCTTCTAAAGGCTTTTAGGTACTTAGAAGACTATTATATTAAACTTCCTTACAGACTTTTTGATCTTCCCAGGGAAAAGAGAACAGAACCTTTGGCTTCATATTTTTCACTCATAGCATTTCTTAAGTCTATGTAGGAGCAAATACATTTGCTTGCATTAGCCAACTTCTAGCTCCTTTTCCTTAGTTTTACATGGAGATGGAAATTCAGAGACCTTTTGCTGCAAAGTTACAGGTTTTAGAACACTGAAATACTTGTAAACCTATGCTTTCTCTGTTTCTTCCTACAGCATTCCTTCAGCAGCACTTGATTTACTGGACCACATGCTGACACTAGATCCTAGCAAGCGTTGCACAGCTGAACAGACTCTACAGAGTGACTTCCTTAAAGATGTGGAACTCAGCAAAATGGCTCCCCCAGAGTAAGTACTGGTGGCCTTGTAATGACCCTTGTTCTTCGCATAAGCCCAGAAGATGAGAAAACTCAATATATCTTTATAAAAACTGCAAGTTCTGGATAGATGTCCTTGAATATTATGGCTGATAAGGAGAGTTGTTTCATTGTTTTGCAAAGATTAACTGCAGTGTTGGTAGTTAATTCAACCAATCTTCTTTTGTGTCCAGACTATTAGCATATTGCCCTACATAACTTCTTTGAAAATACTCCTTCTAGTTTTCTTTCTTTTTTTCCTTTTCTTTCTTTCTTTCCTTCTTCCTTCCTTCCTTTTTTTCTTTTTTCTTTTGTCAGTCATGTGACTTGAACTCAGGACCTGAGTGCTGTCCCTGAGCTCTTTGCTCAAGGATAGTGCTCTATCACTTTGAGCCACAATGCCACTTCCAATTTTCTGGAAGTTAATTGAAGGTAAGAGTTTCAGACTTTCCTGCCCAGGCTGGTTTGGAACTGTGATTCTCAGATCTCAGCCTTCTGAATAGCTAAGATTACAGGTGTGAGCCACTAGTACCCAGTTTAGTTTTCTTTCTTTCTTCTTTAATTTTGGTGTAGATACTGGGGCTTGAACTCAGGACCTGAATACTATCTCTTAGCTTTTTTTTGCTCAAGGCTTGCACTCTAACACTTAAACTACAGCTCCATTTCTGGCTTTTTGCTGGTTAATTGGAGGTAAGAGTCTCAATGGACTTTCCTGTCTGGTTCAAACCCCAATCAGATCTCAATCCCTAAGTAGCATGAGCCAGCTTCCCTAGTTTACAGTATTGTCAGGGCATGGATTTTTTATTTTTATTTTACCAGTCCTGGAGCTTTATCTCAGGGCCTGGGCACTGTCCCTGATATTCTTTTGCTCAAGGCTAGCACTCTACCACTGAGCCACAGCACTACTGTTTATGTAGTACTGGGGAATTGAACCCAGGGCTTCATGCATGCTAGGCAAGCACTGTACCACTAAGCCACATTCCCAAACAAAAATATGTTCTCTGCATCTCTGATCTTTTGAACTTCCTGTGTCCTTTAGAATGTGTACAGTTTCTACATTTTTTTTTTTATACCAGTTCTGGGGCTTGAACTCAGAATCTGGGCTCTTAATCTTAAGCTTTTGTGCTGAAAGCTAGCATTTTACCACTTGAACCACATCTCTACTTCTGACCTTTTGGTGGTTAATTGAAAGTTAATAGTCTCACAGACTTTCCTGGTTGGGCTGGCTTCATGCCATGATCCTCAGATTAGCCTCTTGAGTGGATAGGATTATAGCCTCTTGTGTGGCCAGGATTATAGGCATGAGTTGCTAATGCTCAGCTTTTTCTATATTCTTTAATTTTTTGGGGGGTCCAGTTGTGGGGCCTGAACTCTGGGCCTGGGCGCTGTCCCTCAGCTCTTCAGCTCAAGGCTAGCGCTCTACCACTTGAGCCACA